CAGGGGTTCAGATCTCTGAGAAGATCTCTTCTCTGAAGGGAGGGAGTGAGCCCCATGGGTATCTGAGGGGATTCATGTGGATATCCAGGAGGCAAATGTCATCTGAGGTAGATGCATCTTTCACTGTGTTTGAGGAATAGCATGAAGGAGATGATGCTTGAAGCCAGATGATCATACGGGGGTAAGGGTGGGTAAGGAAAGTGGTAGAAATTAATCTTTGCTACTGGCACAGTGTGAGTGGAGGAGAGACATGCTATGACTAATGCTTTAAGAGGATGGCTCAGGACAGTGGAGAGAATAATGTTGAGTGGAGGATGAAGTAAGTAGACATTAGAAGAATGAAAAACAATCCACTTGAGAAAGTGCTGAATTGGGCTAGATTTATGTGGCAGTGGAAGTGGTGAGAGTTTGGATAAATCTTGTAAATAAACTCTGTAGCATTGTCCTTGGGTTGGATGTAGGGAGGGATAAGAAATGAGCTATCAGAGATGATCCCAAGGTTTTAGAAATGAATAAATAGTAGAATGGAAAGGTCATTTGTAGAAATGGAGACAACTTCAGAATAACAGGTTTCTGGAAAATATGAAGAGTCAATTTTAGACATGGTTAATTTGGGGTATCTGTTGGACATCCAAGCATTGAAATGTCAAATAAGCAGGTGACTGTATGGATCTGGCTTTCAAGACATAGGACCTAAATGCATATCTATATTAGGAGTTATCACTCTGTGTGTGTGTGTGTGTGTGTGTGTGTGTGTGTGTGTGTATATATAATTTAAAACCACAGAATCAGATTAAGCCTCCCACCTCCACTGTTTGTAAATTGAAGATTGAATCCTAGGATACTCCAAAATTCAGAAGTCAGGGGTCTGAGGAAGAACAACACAAAAAAGACCGAAGAGGAACCATCCTTGACATGGGTTAACCAGGAAAAGGTGACTCCCCAGGAACAGGTGGAGGAACTACTTTAAGGTCAAAATGTGATCAACCATAGCTAATTATCACTGGTAGACCAAGCAAGATGGTGGCTGGGAATCAACTGTAATTTCGGGCAACATGAAGATCTTTTGCAACCTCAACTAGAGTGGCAAGAGAGTATTGAGAACAAAGACCTAAGTGGATTTGGTTCAAGATACAAGAAAAAATATGGATTCATCAAGAAAGAAGATGGAAACAGAATGTACAGACCACTCTGTCAGTGAGTTTTACTGTAAGGAGGAAAGGAAGAGTGGGATAGTATCAGCCCTAAGATGATTTTGGTTGCTTGCCTAATTGGATGAAAGATGGGGGCTGTTCCACTGTGTTTTCAGTTGATAGGGATGATCTAGTAGAACAGGACCTAGTAAAGCAGTTGATAAAGGAGACAAGGGGAGAATTGCTGAAGGTATGTGCAGAAACAGGAAAAAAGGTAGAAGTTCTAGTGCACAAGTAAGAAGGGTTTTTTAGAGCAAACCAAAGTAATTCTTATCTGCTTTATATTTCACAGTTTCAAGGAGAATTTCATTAGGGGAAATGTGTATTTTGTTGCCATCTTTTATAAAAGAAGCCAACTTATATCAAGTGCTTCATTTTTCCCTCACATGTTCCTCTAAATCAGTTTTACACCATTTAATAAACCAGAAAACTGAGACTTAGAAAATTTACATGATTCCATCAGGTTTCCAGAGCTTGTATGAAAACCAGGATCCAAACTGGGAATGGCTGATCCCAGAAACCATAAAACATTTATTTCCACAATATTAGAGCTTAGAATTCCCTAAGAGGGTCCACCAGCCATCAGCTATGAGAAATCGGAACATCCTCAAACGTTGTCAAAAAATGCTCACAATTTCAATAAATAAATAAATAAATAAATAAATAAATAAATAAATAAATAAGCCAGACTAAGAATGATACAACTAACAAAAACCTAGGAATCAGGAATCCCACATTCAACTGTGAGGGAGGCAGTAGTAAGTTTTATACTTGGACCCCCTGCAGTGAGGTCTGTGGGGAAGATATGGTTCATTTGACAGCCTTTAAAGACAGAGGGTGATGAGAGTCTTGGTGCTTGACAATGACATAGGAAGGTCCTGGGTAGGGCTGGGCTCCCAGGCTGGGCTCCCAAGCTGGGCTGTGGACAGAAAGGAGAAAATGTTTCCCCCTGAGATGGAAGTACAGTGGCCGAAGTTGAGAAAAACATGATGGGTTCTTTGGGTTTCTAGTCACATTGTGGAACACTTATTAAGCTCCTGTGACATGAAAGCACAAATGCTTCATGCTTGGAAAATCCAGATCAGCCACCATCCTGCCCCGAAGGTACTTGCACAATGAACAATTCAGATTCAACATAAGATTCCTAAATACCTTTTTTATTCAGGGTTCTCCAGAGAAACAGATTCGAGAATACCTAAATACAGAGATTTAGAGATTGAGATTTCTTTACGTATCAAGAAATGAAATTGGCTCACACAATTGTGGGGGCTGGCAAGTGGGGACTTGGTAGGGCGGCCAGCAGGCTGGAAACTCAGGCAGGGATGAGGTTGCAATCTGGAGACAAGTCTTTTCTTCTCAGAGAAACCTCAGCTTTTCCTCATGAGACTTTTAACTGATTGGATGAGACCCACCCACATCATCAAGGGTAATCTACTTAAAATCCAACTGACATAGTTGTTAACCACATTTACAAAATGCCTTCACAGCAACACCTGGATTCGTGTCTGATTAAATAACTGGGTACTACATACAGCCCAGCTTAGTCGAAACATAAAGCTAACCATTACCATATCGTACTGGTTTCCAGTTCCTTCCATAGAAGCCCAAAACAGATATTTTATTTTAGAGACATTCATCTTCTGGAATTATCACTCGCTAATCAGATTTTAAGCTGTAGAACAGTGAGAGGCCAGAGGAGAAGCTGTCTCTGGACGGCTGTACACAAGAATGGTTCATAAAGGCTCATTGTAATTAATTTTTATTGTGCAAAAGCAGAAGGCTGGCAAAGTTGAAAGGGGGTAATTTCACGAGTCAAAATAACAAATAATTAAATACAAATAGTCCCCAAATTCCCAAGAGCAGAACGCGGTCTCTAGATCTTGCTTCTGAATGAAACCTAGCCCCTGACCCCTGCTTCCTCCCAGCAGGCCCGACTCTTGGCCCCTCCTTCCCACCAGTTCCCCGGGGTTCAAAAGTCCCCAGTCTCAACAACCTTCCTTGTACCCCTCCTCATGGACCGTTTTAGGGCTGCCATCAATCAGATGGAAGAGCTAGATCTAGGGCGTTGAACCCGTACTCCCCCAAAAGGCGAGGATTCCTGCCTGCTGGCTGGGGAGAGGGGCCCTCACTGGTTGTGCTCCTTGCGAACAATGAAACCTCGGCTCTGAGGTTCTTTGTTCAGCTCCACGCTCAGAGCCCCGGGAGCTGAGCGGTGCAAGCACGTGTGCTGGATATTAAGTCTCCTTTCAAAGACACTGCGGTGCAGGAGTGACGTGGGAGCCTGCTGGGTGCGGCCCTGGGGGCTCCAACCCTCTGAGCTTGGTTGTGGACAGGAGAGAGGGCAGAGACGGAGTCACACCCCTGAGCTGGGGGCCATTATCTTTCCCAGAGGGTGAGGGGCTAAGGGGACATGGACTTCTTCAGGCAGGAAGCCCTGTGTGGGGGTTTCACAGAGCCTTGAGTAATGACCAGTGTAGGTTTCTCACGGAGGACTCATTTATCTGGGTGCCAGTGGGTGAGCCCGGCTTCCCAAGCTTGAAAATTTAGATTTATTGGGTGCCAGAAATTGGACTGGACCCCATTTAATAGGCCCACGCACCATGAAGGTGAGGGTGGGGGCTAAGAGTCAAGAGGGTCGAGTGGATGGTGAAGGGCGCAGTGTGAGGAAAACCAGCGAAATCTGATTAGCGCCATAAAATTCCAGCCACAGCAGGCGGGAAGTACAGGGCTCAGGAGAACCTGGTGGTTTATGAACACAGCCGAGATCAGATAAATCTGCGGAAAAAGAGAGGTGGAGGAGTGGAAGCCGGCTTTCTGAACTCACAGGAGGGGCTGCTGGAGAGAGAGAGAGAGAGCTTGCAAGAGAGAGGCCACAGACTCCCCAAGTCTGCATGAAGACAAACCTGCTGTTAGGAGAGGTAGATCGATTTTAAAAAGCCATTTGCTAGTTACAAAAAAAAAGACATATATCTTGTTCAGCCTCTTACCCTGAAACAGAAGAAAAGCTTTGGGATTTATGGAATGTGGATTTACATAGAAAGACCCTGTCATATATAAATAGTAGGGCAGCCTTCTAACCTGAAGAGAAAGGCCAGGCAGAGGGGGAGGCACGTTTGCAGAGTGGGTGGGAGGAGGTGGGACTGACATCCAAACCATGGGCTCTGGGCCACATTCCTGCAGCAGCAGACATGCGGAATTTATACCCCCTTCTTCTGGTGCCTCAAGGTCTTCATTGTCTTTATCTATTTTCTCTCTTGGGCTAGGAGAAGCAATATAAAAAGAACTTCGTAGGTTTTTGCGATATTAAATAAAAAAACATGTATTACAACACAACTGATTGAATCTCTTTACTCATAAGTAGATGCCATAAAGCACTGATTGTGTTTTTTCTTTGTGCAGAGCACCAAACTGGATCCATGGTAGGAAGTCACTTCATTCATTTATCATTCATTCAAGAAAAATCTGGGTGTAAAATGATAAATAAGATTTCCCTATCGGTTCCCTCAATGTACTTCCATCCCTTTGGGGTGAGACAGACTAGTAAATTCACATTCCTCTGGAGATGTGAATGAAGAGCAAGTAGACAGGACAGGGAATTCACAGAAGCCTTCCGGGAAAAGATGACTGTCACACTTAGGTTATGGGCACCTGGGACTCAGTGGTCTCCTGAAGATTACATTTCTCAGTCACCAACTCAGAGGTTTGTGCTCCATGTCAGCACACATTTAGAAATGCCTGGGTTTCTGGAAATTTATTTGTATTAATAGTTTTCCATTGCCATCACAAAATACCCGAGACTGAATAATATGTAAAGAAAAGAGGTTTATTTAGCTTACAGTTATGAAGGTTCACAAGTATAGCACTGGCTTCTGCATAGTTCTGGTAGGGCCTCGTGGAGAATGGCATCATCATAATACCAAGAATTCCTGTGAGAGAGAGAAATCATATGGTAAGACAGAAAACAAGAGAGCAGGATGGGGCTGGTATTGCTCTTTTTATAACTCACTCTCTGGGGAACTAAGTTACTCTGCAAGATCAGCATGAATCCCTTCTGAGAACAATGGCTCCCAATGACCTAATTACCTCCTGCTACACCCACTTCATAGTGTTTCCATCACCTCTTCATACTGCCACATTAGGAACCAAGCTTCCAACACATGAACGTTTGTGGGACACATTCGAACCATATCCAAACCATAGCAATATCCAAATGCCCAACAGCATCTGTGGATAGAAGTGCAGGCATCTACCTTGTAAATAATGCAAGCATGTATCATGTAATAATTAATCTTATGAGCTATTCTTCTTTCACAAGGACACAGATCATCAAAATTCTTTGCTATTTATTATACATTAGTTTATTACCTTCCCTCAATTATGTGGTGAAATTTATATCTTTGCACATGGCCAAGGTGGTAGCCCCTGTGGCCCAAGGCAATTAGATAAGGTCTTAAAGAAATCAGACTGTGAACAAGGCAGAAGTTTAATAAAATTTGAAACCCACAGCTGTCAAGCTACATGAAGCCTCATGCTCAAAGATGAAGCAAACATCACTACAGAATTGTTTAGTATAAGAAGCGTGGATAAAAATGTTGCAGCCCATTTTGGTGACAGATTTAAAGATTATGTTGGTGTTGGTGTTTGTGTGTGTGAGTGTATAAATACATATATCTGTATGTATATCCATGTGTATATTTATATGTGTGTGTGCGTGCATGCATATATGTCTGGTGTATTTATATTGATGTACTAGAGGAGGGAAAGCAAAATTGTCAAGACAGCGCTTCTCTAGCAATTCCCAGTCACCTGTTTTATTTCTTCTTATTTCCTCTCCCCCATTCACCTTATTTCACTCAAACCCCCAGAGAGCTTAGAGCCTTCAAGGTCCTCATCTCTGTATTCCCATTGTACTCCTTTGACAATTTATCTGCTATCCCTAATTTACATAAATGTCCTTCCCTTGAATTATTTTCATTTAAGCAGTTAGTATATGCTAACGTTGAAAGATAAAGTTTTGACGATGGCAGAGAGGTTCAGGAATGAATTAGCAACAAGTCAAGGGGAGAGGAGAGGGAATAGAGAAACTGGAAAGAGACTCTTGCTTTCCTAGTTTGGGAAAAGTAAAACAAAGAAAGGAGGAGTCTGAACACCTGGAAGGCAATTTGAGAGCTGCTTCTTACTCCTTTGGGCAAATCCCTCTCACTTCCTCTTGCTCAGAGTCAGTCTGCCCCTTTTCTGTCTTGCATGGCCTTTGCAATCATCTTAAATAGCATTATGTATCAGATTGCATAATGACCTGGTAGCTGATTACTTGTTTCTGGCCATCTCCCCCTCTACATGCTGAGCACTTCAAGGGAGGGGGCCATGTCTTCCCAGGGTCTGACATCTTGACTAGCATGTTGTAAATGCACCATGAAAGATGTCAAGTGCTTTTCCAATGAGTTTAACTATTCTGAGTCAATACCATCCCCTATAAGATAGAGCTTTGCCCATTCACTGGACAGCCTGCTAGGTTTAATACTGAAGGAGACACAGATGCACGATCTAGCAACTTAACCTAAAATAATATTCCCTGCCTACCTCTGAGTCATGGAGAGGAATCAACGGATCAGACATTATGAATGAACTTTGCAAACTGTATGTGCAACTGGAGTTAAGAGATGATTTTTATTTTTACTCGTTACCTGAGCCCTGCTGATGCTGTGTTCTCTTGGCCCTGCAAGGGTTATTTTTGCAGATTCCCGCAGTCTCCCTTCTCTGTAGCTCCCAGCAGATGTATTAAGTGTAATCTTGGAACTGTTCCAGGTTCCCTCTTTAAGACTCAGAATGTTCAATATTTCCTGCACGCAGCAGGCTGCTCTGGCCTGGCCTGGTGCCAAGGACTCTGATGGGTACAACCCCCAAGCATCCCTGGTGTCTGGGCCCCAGCCCCAACTTGTCCAGGTTCCATGGGGCTTGCTTGGGAAGCAGGGACAAAGCCACTGCAACCCCATGGCTTGCAGTTGAGTTGTCTGCTCTCCCGCTCCCTCCAGAGCACCTGCAGAGGAAGGGAAGTCTCACTGCAGGCTGTGTTGCTAGACCAGCCAAACCCCAGGGAAGCAGAGGGGCCTCTGGGCTGCCCTGAGGCTCTGGCTTGGTTGACTGTAGAATTAATACTTTCGAGAGATTTCCATGGAACAATGAAAGAACGGCAGTGAACTGGGTCTCCTGGATAGTTGCTGGGCTAATCTCATGGGAGTTGACCCAACCTGCAAAGTGTGGGAGATGAAGGTCCCCAAATGATTTTGCAGCGAAAGCTGCCTCCCTGTGACCACTCCAGGATAATGCCACCTTCTTCTTCCAGCAGCAGCACAAGGGGAATCCGTGTCCTTCTCTAAACGCTGGCAGGGAAGGAAGGGATTGTGAGGAGTCTCTGGGACCACTTCCATTTAGACCCAGGCTCCCCTGCTCTCCCTCTTTTTAATTAAGTTGCATAATCACTTGCACGGGCTGAACACATGTGCCACACTCTGGACTCATGTTTGCATTTAAACAGGAACTGGTTTTGTGCCTTTAAGTGTGGTCTTTTCCTGACAGTTTTCCCAATCCTTTGTCTTTCTGTTCAGTTGCTCTCCCCTCCGCTCCTGATATTTGTTTTCTTCCAATCTCTCACACTTGGTGGGTTACACAATCACTTGGAACCCCCCTCCGTAAATGACCACCTTCTTCCTCAGCCACATCAATTCAATTGATCAAATATATTCTGCAATAGAAATGAAAGGAACTAAAATTCGTGAGCTTCAACACAGTACCGGGCATGCTGCAGCAATCCAGAGTACAGACAGGCAAACTCCCTGCGCCTGCATCTCCGACCTAACACACAGGCCTACTAAGGCAGGGGAGGCCTGTCCTGAAAGTAGCAGTGAGATGTGTGGAGGCCCTTAGAAAACATAGGAGCCAAAGTCCAGCCAGTGAGGAAAATTTCCCACAGAGGAGCCCTGAGACTTGATCACCAACCCTTTTGAAAAGAACTGCAGTCACCTTCAAGTTCAAGCTCTCCCCTTAACAGACCTTTGTGAGACTATAACCTCTTCTGACCTTAGTTTCCTCAATTATAGACCAGGGCAATTGAAACAAAGAACCACTAATGTCTCCTGGGTCTGAAATTCTTTGAACCTGTGACTATTTTGATGACCCTTGCTTTGTGACCCACATCATGATAAAACTGTGTTAAAATGGACGGTGGAGACAGGTAAATGTCAGGTTCTTTTTTTTTTTTTCTTTTGGAAACCAGGTCACTAAATTTTTGTCATAATGGTCTGCATTTGGAGCTATATTGTTTATAATAGCTCTAGATATATAAGCTGTGTCAGACTACCAAAATGCAGTGTTCCTTTAAGGATTCAAGGCCCACGTTTTTTTGTGTTTTTTTTTTTTTTGGAAAGACAGAATGTTATTCAGTCTGTAGCCACCCTTACTGGAATCCTGCTCAGACAGAGCTTGAACTGCTTGAGCTAATGAGAGAGACCTTTTATCAAACCCTGGAGGTCAGCAGATGCGGGCTTTATGGGAAAAGTGAAAGAATGGGGAAATTTCATCATGATCATGAAAAGGCACTTACAGTAAACTCTGTTATCCATCAGGGGAGAGCAATAGGTTGTTCTGGTGGGTGGCTAATAGAAAGTCTTATAAATGCTGCATGGATTATCAATTTCCAGAGATTAAAGGAAACATGAAAATAAACCCAAAATTGCTATAAATAAATTCTTTTTGATGATTCCAATATCTTTTGCATGGGCATCACATAGCAAGTGAGGAGCATGAGATTTGGAATATTGTTTTTCTATTTTTTGCGAAACCAAAAAGGCTACTTACTATTTAACAGTACTGTTGTACAACAAACAACAACAACAAATAATGCTACCAAACATGATTTGGCTTCCCCTTCAGGCCCTGTTTCCAACTTCCATCCTATTCCTGTTCTAGTCCTATTTACTCTTAGGCACAGACATTTCTAGAAAAATCTTGGTGTCTCCCACTCACATACCTGTACTTACATGCATCTTCTCTCTGTCTGGAAATACCCCTTGTTCTCATGACCCTACTCTCCTAGCTGCCAAGCTCAGCTGTGGCCTCTTTCACGACACAGCATCCTTTTAAAGATATGATCGCACTCACTCCAGAATTCACACTGTCCTTCATTTTCAGCTCCCTTACAGCATTAATGCTGGGTGTTTTTTGGCCAAATGGATCTATCTGGTCCTAAGGTTGACACACAATCTCCCCAAGGACATCAGTGCTCTCATTTGGCTTATCTCTACATGGGAATAGAAACTTTTTAGCATTTATCAATATTTTTACTTTTCTTTTTTTTTTTTTTTTTGGTACTAGGAATCGAATTCAGGGGCACTCGACCACTGAGCCACATCCCCAGCCCTATTTTGTATTTTATTTAGAGACAGGCTCTCACTGAATTGCTTAGCACCTTGCTGTTGCTGAGGCTGTCTTTGAACTCTTGATCCTCCTGCCTCAGTCTCCTGTGCTGCTGGGATTACAGGTATGTGCCACCACACCCCGCAATATTTTTACATTTTTTAAAACATGGATTGTGGCCTGTGTTCCTCATCCAAAGAGGTCTTTAAGTATCTTGCGGGCAGGACAGTGCACATTTCTATTTCCCAGCAGAGACACTGGCATGTAGTGAAGAACAATCAATATTTAGTGAATTCAGCTGAACATGATAAAAAGACACCTTGGCACAATTAACACATTAGCAGAATGCTAGAGTTGGAAATGTTCATCAAACTTAAATCCCTCATTTTTAGCTGGAGAAAAAAAAAGCCCATTTATACTAGAAAGAGAAATGGCACATGTGCAATCTCATTGTGAAGCTCAGATGGTTCACTTTAATAAGGAAGCATTACTATTGTGTAATCTTTCAGGAATTTGTTGACAGAGGCCACTTTGTCATGTCGAATGTTCACAGCTGGAGATACAGATTCATTCATGCATTCGACAAGTATTACTGAGTACCAACTATGGGCTAGGAGCTGTTGACTTTTTTTTTTTAGGGATGCAGGGCAGAAAAAGATGAGGTTCTTAAACTCATGGAGATGATATTACAGGGGTGAAAACCGAATAAGAAGGTTAAAAAAAATAACAAATATGACTTGAGGGATATAAAGGAATCAGGAGAATGATGGGGAAATCGGTACTTTAGATGGGATGGTTAGGGAATTCTGTTTAGAAGAAATGACAATTGGACTTGAAGGAGGTGAATAGGTGACCCATGAAAATAGATGAGGAAAAAGAATTCCAGGCAAAAAGAACAGCAAAGGCTTTGTGGCATCCTTGGTGTGTTGGTGGAAGAAAATATAACAAGGAGAACCATGTAGCAGGAGGGGAGTGAGCATAGATGTGCTGGGACCCATAGCAAAAGGTGAGATTGCAGGAATAGCAGCAGCCCAGCAGTAGGAAATACAGACACAGGGAGGCCCTGGGATTTTACTCTGAATAAGATCCCCATTTGGAGAATGTGGAGCTGGAGAGTGATGAGCTGCTCTGTTGGAAATAGACTAGGAGATGGCTGGAGTGGTGGACTGGTGGACGGGATGCGGCATAGAAGCGAATAGGGAGGCCACCACAACCATCCAGGCTGCTGGAGATGTCATCCAAGGAGGTTAGTGGTGAGGCTGGTAAGATGTAAGTGGGCTCCTGGTTTATGTTGGAAGGCAAAGCCACAGACATTGCTGAAGGATTAGATATGGAGTTAGAGAAGTAACTCCAAGGGCTTTGGCCTGGGCAACTGGTAGAAAAGGGTTGATACTCACTGAAATGGAGAAGAATATGGGAGTAATTTTGGGAAGAGAGAGATCTGGAGTTTAGTTACAAAGGTGATAAGTATGGGATCCTCTTAGTCATCCAAGTAGAGATGTTAATCGAGTAGGCCATTGGACATAATATATTGGAGTTCAGGAAAGATTTCAGTCAGCTACATACATATATGAATTGCCAGCAAGTAGTATGTAAAGTCATGAGACTAATGCAGAGAAGAGAGGAGAGGAAAGGAGATGAGAGGGGAGAAGAGGAAAAGAGAGTTTTGAAGAATGGAGTCCTGGAGTGGTGGGAGAAGATGAGGCAGGACCAGCAGTGATCACAGAGAAGGAATGGCCTTGGGAGGGAGAAGGAGAACTGAGAGAACACAGAGTCCTGAAAGTCAAGTGCAGAAAGTATTTCAAAGAAGATGGATGAACACCTGAGTTAAATGCTGCTGATAGATTGAGATGGGGATGCAAATTGACCATGCATTTAGCAACTGGCAGGTCATGGTGGCCTTGACAAGAGCAATTTTCTGTCAAGTGAGGTGGGTAAGTTTCTGACTATGGTGAGTTCAAGGAAAATGAGACAGAGGGTATTGGAGCAACTAACATTAATCACCCTTTCAAGGCATTTTGCAGAGAAAAACCATGATAGCTTGAAAGAGCAAACACTTTCTGCTTTAGCTAAAGAAACTCCTGGAGAGAATTCCCACCTTCTGGGAGCACAAACTTTACTTACAGGGAGGGGATGTGCTCCGAGGCCAGCTGGGCACACTCGGAGGATGTGCTTGTGTCTAGAGCCTCTGGGAAGGGCTGCTCCTTCTAATCCACTAGCAACACAGAAGATCAGTGGCCCCGGTCAGTCAGTGGCCCCTTATCCATTAGAATCACTAAACACCACCTAGCTCCTTTCCTTGTCTGCCTGCCTGAATCTGCAGGCACAGTAGGAGTCAGTCACTAGCCACCAGCACAATGACAGCCCCTATAGATTTCTCAGGAAGGCTGCCAGGAACCCAAAACATGAAAAGTTCAGGGACCCAAAAATAATCAGAAAATTACATTGTGAGCAAATCTCCGGGTAAAGAGGATGACAATAAATGAAGGATATGAAAAGGAGCAGACAGGGACAAATGATTCCTGAGCCCTTTCAATTCCAGTGTACTTGGGCAACCATGCAGCAATCTGAGATGGCTTCAATTACCACTTTTAAATCTGCACCTATACATGCTGTGGAAAAAAAAAAAA